AGGTCGCGGAATGACTGTGCCACCTTCCAATCTTTCTCGAAGTAGTTAAGCCTAATTTCGCAAATATGCGGATGTTTTTATCAGTATATTCTTGTCGAGGAAACAAGTAGATCATTCCTAGAGAAAACCCGAACTCAATATTCAAATTGGATCGAGAGAAAAAAAGCCGCGAAAAAAATCCGCAATAATTATGCATCAACCTAATAATTCTTTTCTAACACTGAATATTTAGACCACGTACCATCTAAGCTGAGGGCAGCAATGGTTGTGCCTGGTGGAGCGGTATTTGATATTGTCACTTCCACCTCGTCTTCATCAAAATAATTCCATTTTTTACTACCGCTCGTCAAACTGAATAGAGCTTTTATATTCAGTGTTACGGTAATTTCAGAAAGATAATAGAGACTACCGTATCACGATACTCTTATCTGCAAAGAGCGATGGCGAGCCCTGATCGGTTGCTCGGACAACTATGGTAGAATCGGAGGATTGCGGACGTCGATGCATTGTTAAGGCACCTAAAGGGATCGAAGTCTCGAATTTTCCAAGAATTTGTCAGATTACAGAGCTACTGAAGTATTACCTGTCTTGGAATCGATCCCAAAACATTCTGTGGGATCAGATATCACGTCATAGGAGATGGCAGCATTTTTGCCGTAGTCGTCATCGGTAGCGACAACATGATGGATGACTCTATTCGCCGGTTCTGTGAATACCATCACCTCAGCAGGGCTGAAACAAGCAACTAACTCATTCCCTTTGCTATCCAGTACGTTACGGTACTTATTTCTTGAAAAATACATTTCAGTCAAAGGTAGAACCAAAGGTAAACTTTGGAAGTAGCGAAATTGTGACTTCAGTCGGTCCGACAATACAGGAACTAACGAGACTGCAAAGATATTAGGTCTAGGATCAACAAAAAAAANNNAAAAAAAATAAACAGAAAGCAACCAAAAAACAGAAAGAAAAGAACTGAGCATGATTCAAAAGTATATTAAAACAACCCTTTCTCGCATCAGCTCACTACTTGGAACGGAAAGGAGAGAGAGCAAAGAAAATTAGGAAATTACAGATTCGCTTGTTGAACGGTCTGGCTCACTGTTAACAATTAAGCCTGGACTAGAGCACTAGAGCACTTATCATATACAGCTCCACTCACCGCCCGAATTTGCCTCTCTTGTTGCACCCAGTTGTTGCACCAATGATAGTCGTATGATACCAGTGTGCCCTTTACTGAGAAGTACGAATTTTCGCCTCATGAGCATGCCAGGCTCCCCTCCGAGAACGCATTTTATAGAAATTCGATTGCAGCGCCCAATGTATATGCCAGATTTGAATGTATGCTGCACACTTTCTAATGGCGGATTACGATAATTGGGGTGTGGTGCAGTAGGAACGAAATCGTTGCGTGGCGGCGAAAGGGACGCCGCGCGCGAAGGAATATAGCAGAACGCAGCAGCAGATAAGAAATACAGGAACAAAGGAACTATCAGTAGGATCATGCCTGAAATAAGGGTACCATATCGACTGAGCTGTATGACGAAGCCAGAGCTCTACTAACGGCGAACGAATGGTCCGCGACAGCCGCGTGCGGCGAATCAATTACAAAAACCGTTCCTACTGCCTGTCTCCCCGATAATTGCGGGGTGAAGCCGTGAGACAACTATCAAATTTTTGCAGCGCGCACATGCGCCATGCTCGCGACCATCACCCATTACCTGCCGCACCATCGATGAAAGGAATCTCCGTTTCTTCGGAGAACAAAGCCGGTTCATGCTAATTGTTCAAAGTCAGAAGAATGACTGAATTAGTCGATAAGCCTTCTTGAACATCAGTCATCAAAAGTTTGACGTGATTAAAACATCATCAAAAACGTGATTAAAACAATTACCAGCTACTGAGTGTTTGCTTAATCTCGCTGTAGTTGAGGCTCATAAACCATTCAAGAAATCGATTATTATGTAGTTAGACTAACACTAATTGTAAGACAACATCATCAACAAACCTGATAATTTCCGGATGATTGTTGTTCTTATCTTCAACGTCAACCACAATTAATTGGCTAGTTTTCTGGCTTCCTACCGTAGCTACAACGATCAAGTGGTGAGGAGCCTAAAATAACAAAGCATTCCTAAAAAATTTGTTGCAGCGTGCAATCACGCCCAATACAGTATCCATTATACGATACCTGCACCGAACAAATTGTACAGTAACACATGGTACGGTACCTCTTTCCAATCCAACGAATCTACTACAGTGATTTCACCAGAATACTGGTCAATTATGAATTGGCGACTTGGCTCCATTAGCTGATATGTCGGTAAAGCGGACTGTGCTGAAGTGGTTGCGTTCGCAATGGTGACTATTGTACCTGAATTCGCTATTCGCTAATCCAGCATTCATAGTTGCGAA